CACTTTGGGAATGTCATTAGAGACACCTCTCGCTTTTGCAGTGAGGTGGCAAGGAATGTTAGTTCTTGGAAATTAAAGAGCAAGGGGAACCAGGGAGGTCAGACATTCATCTGCATGACACTCAAAGACTGACTTTTACAGACCTCTTCAGTGATTTGTTCCCTTCTATTTTGACTGCAGAAAAAAAAGGGCACTGTCAACCTCATTTAGAAGGTTATTCCACATCTCTACTTGTTAGGTGCTCTTTTCTCTCAGTGTTTTTCTTCTTTTATTATAACTCAGTGCTCTTGGCAATTACTTTTCACTCTAATTCATGTATTGCCTCATGAGCTTGTCTGCGTAATTTTGATCCATGAAGAGAACCAATTAGCTCTGTGTTCTCCAAAGATGCCTCTTTGGAGAAAGGTAAGGCTGGCAGAGAAAGGGAATTAGACTGACTCCGTGACTGAGTTTGGAGCCCGAGATTAAGAATGAATGAGATTGCTCTCTCAAGAACAAACTGTTGACTGAGGTTGGATACCTACAAATATCTGAAAACTTCAGGCTTTCTGAGCTCTGGGTATTATCCAGGTAGAAAAACAGTTGTGAATACAAAGGAGTGAAAAAGACTCTGTGGGCTACCAGGAAAAAATTCAACATAATTCTACTGCAGATCATGAGGTGCTTGTCTAAGCTCTGAAAAGATACCTTTAAGTTTAGAAGAAACAAAAGAACACATTAGTTCCAACATGAGTAAGAGGAAGAGATGAGGCAGTGAGATAATTTAGTGAAGGAGTAAAGTTCTAAGTGTAGCAACTCATTTTTCATTGTAATATGAGCACCACAGAGTGTTGCAAAGCCTTGAGTTTTGTAAACCTAGGAAGTTTGATTTCCTCCCTCATCGGCGAAGAAAGTAAAGTTTATGAAGGAAAAAGGACTTTGTAGCCATTTAAACCTTGGTTTGAAAATCACTCTAACACTCATGAGCTGGGGGGTCTCAAAAGACATTTAACCTTCCATAGCCTCAATTCTCTCATTAACAATGGCAGCAGGCAGTAGTATCCCACATCCGGCTTGTTTCGCTGATAAGAAAATACACAGGCACTTGGAATCACCCCACATGAAATATGCAAAGCTTAGGATTTCAATTTTAAAAAATAATCATTCTATTTCTTGCTCTCTTTCTGCTTCGATTTTTCCCCCTTCATAATGGGACATTATTAGAGGTAATGGAGTAAACGGAAGCATAGTTAAGATGATAATATCCCACAGACTACCGTGACTACTGTGGAACCTTTCCAAAGCTCTTTCCACTGCCTCTGTTCATTCAGTTTCCATCAAGATAGTCCACTGCTACTTCCCACACTTAAATTTATATTCCACATTACCATATCAAAGCTGGTAAAAATATTTCTCAGCTCAAAATAAAAGCTCTTCAGCATGAAATTCAAATCCATCTACAATCTGGTCCCTGTCTACTTCCCCAGCTCAGAGATACAAGACTATTTTTTTTTCATTCATTCAACCAATATTTATAGGCTACCTAGTATAACAAGGTACTATAGTAGGTTTTAGGTGATTAAATTTGAAGATTTTTACAGAAAAAAATAGGTGAAATTTGTTTTATAGATTTAAATTTCCATCATGCCCAGCTTATTTTCTAAAATAAATATGTATTAATGATACAATTATTTTTTAAAGCCATATCAGGTCTATAGTATCTCTATGTTATTTAAGGAAGGCAGAAAGACTCTGAAAAACTAAGCAAATTTTCCAAAATGAACAGAGTAGAAAAAGCCAAGTAGAATTTGAATTATATAATTTTAAAGTCTGCAGTTTTTGTTTTTGTTTTCCTTTGAGCTTTAGCTTATTTTAAAAATGCTTTTTATCTGTACCTGCTCTAGTGAGTTTTAACAGACTTTTAGGTTTTCAGAAATAATTTAAGTGACAATGAATCAATCATTTGAAAATGCATTTTCCTACCTTCTATATACCAATAAAGGAATTTCCTGCCTTAGCCAGAAACCACTGAATGATAGAATTGAGCAATGTCATTCTTGCATCTTTATAACTATTTTCTGGCCTAGAGTTTTTCATCGTTGAGGGGTTCAGAAGCATTATTTATATATGACATTTTGAGGTTGGTAATCCTCTTCAGAAATTTTCTTGCCTTCCATTGCAAAGGAAAAGAAACTCTCTTTGCATACATTTTTTATCTCAAAAACTCTCAGGCATGTAATCAAATTTTACTCATTTGGGGACCGCTACATACATTGGAAAAAAACACGCCTCAATCACCTTGGTCAATTGCCCTAATTTTCAACCAAAACCAAGGAAGTTCTTAGTGATTTGAATCTCTTGTCAGAATGTTATCACTCATTACGCTGGGCAGGCTGGACAGTGACCTAATTGTTACAGAGTTTATTTTGTTTTGATTTGTGTTCTTTGTCTCCCTGGGTTTCAGGGTAGAATAAGAATGTCATTCTCCTGCCAAACAAAGAAGCAAATAACACATCAAGGATAGAACTGTGACCTAAGAAATTTTAAGGAGACTGCCTTTCCTCTCTAGGAGTCTTTCTATTTGAGGACAGATTTTCATAATTCTCTCTCTAGGGGACTACGTCTGACTGATACCCAAGGCTGCTGACTCTCCTGAGCTCAAGTTCATGTCTTCCTCTGGTGGTTTTCCTTGGATGTTTAGCTATTCCATTTTGTGCGTTCAGTTTTTGGATTGGTGTTTCCTGTCAGACTACCTGAAACATCGCTGCAGTGTCAGCTTGAAGGTAACCACAGAAGGTGCTGCTGAGGCTGCCCTCACTGGGAATATGAGGCATCTGAGGATGGAGGCCCACCATTTTCTCCTAAAGGACCCAGCCATTTAGGATATGGCCTTTTATATCTAACTCAAGCTCCCACACCCTCTTCATCCACCTAGAAATGCACATTGAGGTGAAGATACATGAATCTACAGTCCAGTGCTGAGCTACTCCTAGCGGCAAAACCAATGAATCACTTTGTTGGTTGTCACGGACTTGCTTCCTACTCTGAGTATAGGCCATTCCCAGTGTGCAAGCATTGTTCCACCAACCTCAATTTTGTTATCACACGTCTTAGGGTAGTTTTGGGCTGTGGTTGCAGTCTTCAACTCCATGTCTTTCATGGATTTCACACAGTTCCTAGTCCATAGAATGACTCTGTGTGCATCATGTACATGGATTTATTTATTTACATGCCATTTTTATCATTTTGTATTTGGAGCAAGAATGGGATGCTGTAGCCTATTTCAGTCTACCATCCTCAACAAATGAATTGAACATATGATCTCTGTATGCTCAGGAATCCACAGACATCACCAACAAGCCTTGACACGACTCCTACTCTTTGCATTTGCCCTCAACAAATTGGGCGGTTGAAAAAATGTCTGTCTTTAGGTCTACTACAGGCTGATCCTGCATCCCGTACCAGGGTAAGAGAAACAGAAATAAAGCCATAGTCTCTCATTTCCACAAGAATTGTCTCCCTTGAAAATGCTAACTGTGAAGCAAGTTCATTATGCACTGGCCACCAGCTGTCTGAGTCTGGCAAAACAGAACACCCATGCACACAAGTTACATGATGTGGGATTGCTACTTATAGATAGGCATCAAGGGACCACAGAAGCCTAATATTTAACGTTAGCCAGTTCCCCCAAGGATAAGGAAAGCTGCCCGGTGTGGATGGAATCTCATTGGCATGTGTGTCCCAATAACAATGTAGCTGAGGAACCCCAAAAGGCTGCTCACTCTAGGGGTGTATACTTTGAGGTCACATGATTTGCTGTGCTAAAATGTTGAAGGACGTCCTGTTCTGGGGGGACCTGGAAGAGAATTAAAGCTGTTCTGACCATTTCCCCTAGAACTAAGGTGCATTTTCAGTATATTCTATAGTTATCCTTGAGAACTACAATAGAGAAAAGGCAAAAGAACTGTCTGGATTCAAAGCCACCCAGAGCACAGTCCTGCACTGAGGTTTCCACCCAAATCTCATGTCGAATTGGAATCCTCAATGTTGGAGGCAGGGCCTGGTGGGAGGTGATTGGATCAAGCAGTCAGTTTCTCATGGTTTAATACCATCTCCCTTGATGTTGTCATGGCAATAGTGAGTGAGTTATCATGAGATCCAGTTGTTTAAAAGTATGCAGCACTTCCCCGCCCCCCCTTCTTCCTCCTGCTCCAGCCATGAGAAGATGCTGCTCCCTCTTTGCCTACTCCCATGATTATAAGTTTTCCGAAGGCATCCCCAGAAGCCAAGCAGATGCCAGCATCATGCTTCCTGTACAGCCAGTGAAATTAAACATGACCCAATTAAACCTCTTTTCTTTATAAATTACCCAGTCTCAGGTGTGTCTTCATTAGCAGGGCGAGAACAGACTAATACATATGCCAACTAAGTCAAGAGGTAAGTTTTAAAAAGGGTGTACACTCGTAAGGAGCTGAAACAACCTAAAAGATAACTGTCTAATGAGAGTTCCCGGAATCACAGATCTTATCCACTATCAGAATGTACTGTTGTTTCCAAGGACACAGGTAATCCCAAAACACAGGTAATGCAGGCAGAGACCCAAGACCCACAGCATTTCTTCCCAGGTGCTTTCATCCTACACCAGATGAGCTCAGATTAACAGAGGCAGTTGCTCAGTAAGATATGTCACCACCTCATTAACATGTGAACTTCTCTGTTTTATACTCCTCATTTCCTAGTTTATCCAACCTCTTCCAGGGAGACACACCTCATATATCTATATAGTCCAGATTTCTTTGCTAGAAACGGTGCTAGTCTACCAGGCACATTCTGCTAAAAGCATTCCTTAGATAAGAATTCTGCTAACAGAAACCATTTAGTTTGATTGACAGGGGTCTAGCATTAGTATGTTAAGAGGAGATTAGGCTGTGTCACCCACCTTACTTCTTCTTAGGAGTGTCTCTCCTCCCACTTACCCCTCCACCGTCCCCCAAAAAGATGGATCAGAGACCTGTTGCTTACCTCCTTCCTCTCCAGCAAATAGTTAGCATGAAATTGCATATATCCTGTGGGCCACAGTTGCATCCAATTCTAATTCGGCAGACTCTAGTAAGAAACTGAACTGTTGGTGTTGTTTTAATTTTTTCCTCAAATCCTCTGCATACTGAAAATTCTAATAAAAAGCATGGAAATAGAGCAATTATGAGAATCGTTATTTACCTATGCAGAACATATTTTCCTTTCAATTTTATTTCTGAAATACGTTATGCAAAGCTTCTTGTTGCCTGCCCCCCTACCACATACTATGCCATTAAATGTGTGAAATTCTAATTATTAGAATTTTACTTTTACAAATTTGGGCTTCAATGTTTAGTAAATAGCATACTTACTTAGAGAAAAACTGGTAATTCTTTAAGTCAGATGTAGCCAATAGTTTCCATTTTGTCTGTTAACTCTTACTATTTTACAATCGCTACCTAAAACACTGTGTTAAGAATCCTGAAGCTAGTTATAGATATAAAAACAATAAAAGTACTATGAGTAATTAGTCATTTTGGTAATGAGCATGAAACTTACCACTCATAATCTTAGTTATTATTAAACATTTACCATTTAGTGAGAATGAAGGGTCTAAGTCTAGTTTTGATAGAGATGAAAACATGATCTTATGCCTCAGTTGCCTGAAACAGTTCCAATTTTCACCTGTTTACTCAGTGTGTATATATATATATATATATATACATACATACATATATATATATATGTATATGTATATGAATATACACAACCTGTATGCCCAGTGTATGTGTGTATATACATATATATATGTATATGTATATGTGTATATATATATATTCCATCTCCCCTCCCCCGCCCTGAGAAGAAGTCTCTCTCTGTCACCCAGGCTGGAGGGCAGAGGTGTGATCTCGGTTTACTGCAACCTCCACCTGCCAGGGTCAAGTGATTCTCCTGTATCAGCCTCCGAAGTAGCTGGGATGTTGGGACTACAGGCATGTGCCACCATGCCTAGCTAATTTTGTATTTTTAGTAGAGATGGGGTTTCACTATGTTGGCAAGGCTGATCTTGAACTCCTGACCTCATGATCTGCCCTCCTCGGCCTCCCAAAGTGCTGGGATTACAGGTGTGAGCCACCACGCCTGGCTACCCAGTATAATTTTTAGACTAATACTTTGTACCATTCAGTCCCAAAAATGTTCTATGAGGGTGACATGTTATTAGAGATAGAATAGAGGTATGCTAAAATATTGTATCTGTAGATACATCTAGAGTTAGAATGCAAGAAACTGAATTGGGAGGCATTAGACTTAAGGTCCTTCTTATGAATCTAAGAGATTACAGAAAATAATATTAACTAAGGGACCTTAGAGACAGTCACAAGTGGAGGAGATGCAGGCATTAGTATGGGAGGTAAGAGCCTGTATGATTCTCAAGGTTCCTTTACACTTGAGATCTTGGCTTAACTGTCATATCTCACTGACTGTGTAACTGAAACCCAGAGTGTTTAACTGAATTATTCCAAGTCACACAGCTTGTTTTTGGCACATCTACTGATTCCCAGATCGAGGCCTCTCATATACAGCATGGTTGTAACACCATTTTTATGTATCTCAGGACCCCTGTGGTGGATCGAATATGAATTGAATGTTTTTGTCTCCTCCAAACCCCAAGTTGAAATTTAATCCCCAATGCAACAGTGTTGGGAAGCGGGGCCTAATGGAAAGTGTTTTGATCATGAGGGCTCTGACCCCATTAATGGATTAATGTCATTTTAAAGGGCTTGAGGGAGGGAGTTTGCTCTCTGTTACTCTCTTAGCCTTCCACCCTTTGCCATGGCATAATGAAGCAAGAGGGCCCTTGCCAGATACTGGCCCCTTGATTTTCAACTTCCCAGCCTCCAGAACTATAAGATATAGATTTCCATTCTTCATAAATACCCGGTCTGTAGTATTTTGCTATAGCAGCATCAAACAGACAAGGCAATAGTGTCCCCTAAAAGCTCACATTCACCCAGAACCTCACAATGTTGCTTTATTTGGAATTAGTGTTCTTTACAAATATAATTAAGGATCTCAAGATGAAATCAGTCCAGGGTTAGGGTGGGCATTAAATCCAATAACTGGCATCCTTATAAGAGGAGAGGACACAGAAAGACTTAGATACACAATGTGGAGACTGCCATGTGAAGTGAAGGCAGATTGACGTAACCCATCTGCTAGCCAAAGAATGACAAGAATTGCTGACAACCACCAGAAACTCATGTACAGTAGGCAAGCCTCAACATTAGCTTAGCCCAGGAGGGTCCTTGGCTTTACTCAGGAAAGAATTCAAGAGCAAGCCAGTGGTGGAAGAAACCAGGTTTATTGAAGCAGCAGCGCATAACAGAATGGCTGCCCCTTGCATAACTGTGCTAACCCATCGGCAGTGTACCTACAGTAGCATCGTACAGCAAAGCGCCTGCTCCATAGGCAGAGCAGCCTGGAGCAGCAGCAGCAGCAGCAGTATACAGCCACAGTAGCCGTCTGGAGCAGCCACTGGAGCAGGAACAGCGGCCACAACTGAAGCCACAGCTGCAGAGGCAGCCCCGGCATTGATTGCTGGCTAGCTATATTTATATCTACTCTTGATTATATGCTAATTAAGGGTGGGTTATACATAATTTTCTAGAAAAGAGGTGGGGTGTTCCCAGAGCCACATAAGGTCACTTCTCAGTTGTTGCCAAGGCATGTTGCCATGGCATTTGTAAACTGTCATGGCACTGGTGGGAGTGTCTTTATTTATGAACAGTGTGGGCACCAGAAGTCACTTTTCTCACCATCTGCTGGTTTCAGCAGGTTTCTTTACAGCATCCTGTTTTTGATCTGCAAGGTCATTACCAGTGCTCAGAAAACAAGTTCTGCGGATCTCTCACTTCAAAGCTAGAAAAGAAGCATGAAAAAGACTTCTTCACAGCCTGCAGAAGGAACCAACCCTGTCAATATCCTTATTTCAGACTTCTTGCCTCATAAACTGTAAGATAATACATGTCTGTTGTTTTAAGCCATGCGGCTTTTGGTACTTGGTACTTTGTTACCATGGAATAATTATACTCTAGGAAACTAATACAGCAGCCCTCCTCATTAACAAAAATTTCATAAAGATAGATTAAATTGTAATTTGTATAAGGCAAGGGTGAAATTTTCTCTATTTATATATCTTTTCCATTATTCTTTTCATGGTATGGATAGAAACCCAGAAAAGCCTGAATCCTCCTGCATGATTTATTTTTCCTTTTTTCATTGTTTCTTCAACCTCTAATCCCCACCCTGTAACCCACCCCAACCAAAGTCAGTTTCTTAGAGGGCTACATATATGAACAGAGGTTACGTGAAAAACAAAGTATTACCTTATTTAATGGAATAGCACCATTTATTTAACCTTTAAATCAGAGAGCTGGTAAAAATTAGATTGGAGAATATAGATCAAGCCTGAGGCTTAAATGGGATCCCCTGGATCCCTCTGAATTTAAGTCCTGAGATGGAAAGAAGTGAGGTATGGCTCTGGTTCCAGCTCAGAGCTACTAACCTTGCCGGTGTCTGGTTCTTATATGAAAAGGAGAAACAGAAAGGTCAAAAGAGTGCCATCTGCACGTGTGCATTCCACCCTTTTAATGTTACCAGACTGCAGTCACTAGACTCACTAATAACTATTATCCAATTCAAACTCTAGACTGATTGAATTAGCAAGTTCTCTTATCTTGGAGGGGAGCTTGAATTAAGTGAGGAGAGGTAGAATCTTCCTGTTAGGGAAAATAGTACAACAGTATTTTCTTCCTGTTAGACCAAATTGATCCCAGTACTTTGCATACACCTAAGCAGTCAATAAATGTCTATTGAAATAAGATACTCAGTTTAAATAATACATATTAAATACTTTACTGCCATCAATTTATTAGGTCCAACTCTGACTTGCTTTTGCTCAGGCCAAAGGGAAACCTCAACATACATTTGCTTTTAAATCCATTCATTTATTTCAAGCCTATATAAAGTGACTATTTAATGGCAATTTTTCTGGTAGGCACTTAAGATCAGAAATAATGAAACAGCTCATGGAGCTCAGAATCCAATGAGAATATGAACAGAAAAATAAGCAAAGAAGCATGATACTCATCATAAATGTCATTGAATAACAGCTAATACTGAATATCAGGGGCTAGAAGATTAGGAAAGGTGATACTGAGATGAGTCTTGAGTGATGAGTGCAGAGAAGTACAATCAGGGAAGGTAGGCAGAAAGTAGAATATTTGAAGCAGAGAAGAGGGCTTATAGAAAATTCTGAGGAGATGACAGAGGACTGTGTAGAAACAGGAGCCACACACACAAAAAAATTTAGACTCTCAGGATTATGGGGTGCTGAAAGGTAGAGGTAGAAAGGCAATTGGAGGTCATGCCCTGGTGGGTCAGAAGGGACCGAATTCCATATTTAAAACTAGAGATTGTGATACTCATGATGGTAGTGGCATCTTGAAGCAAAGGCTACATAGTCATGTTCAGCATATTCTAATTGAAGAGATTCATGTAAAGAGTGTGGAGTCATTTACCTAGGAAGTTAATTTATCATAAAATTTTTATTATAAATAAATTATAATGATTCAGATATTTTATAAGTAAAATTTATAATAAAACTAATATGTATTAACTACTGTTCCAAGCACTTAACAACATATCCTCTGTCATAATACAGAACCCACCAAGGTGAGAACAATTATCATCCTGTTTTACAGATGGGAAACTGAGGGATGGAGAGGATATCTTGCCCCAAGTGACAGGTCCAGTCAAGCCAGCTTCAAACTCAGGCTGTTAAATCAGGAGCATGTTCTTTTAATCAGCACATTACAGGGTGATGATGGACCACCAAAACATACTTAATGTGGGTGCCCCGTGGGTTTTCCTCTCAGTTAGTCCTGAAACTCGCAATACAAAATCAGGAGCAGCTCTACTAGGCCCTAAGCAAAAGCCTCACATCAAATAAGTTGTATTCCCCTGACATCTATTTTTTTTTCATTTTTTTAATGTATCCTAATTCCAATATCATTCCCTTGTCATATTCTTTGCTCCTTACAGGCATTTTTGTAATGAACATAACCTTATTTTCCTGCTACCAACCAATGGGTACTTGGTTTTTTCAATCAGTTTATGCTGTTTATGAATTGCTATCTCATCTTTTCCTGGAGTTAAGCCTGAGTTTTCATAGCTCTCATAAACAAACCACAGTGAGTATATGACTCACATGTGAACAGCATCTGGCTGAATCTGAGTAGGGGAAATCACTTGTGGCTTGATTGGTATATTAGCATACTAAGGCTATTATAATGAAATGCCATAGTCAGGTAGCTTAAACAACATAAATTTATTTTCATGCTCTTCTGGAAACTGGAAGTCCAAGATCAAAACTCTGGTGAATTTAGTGTCTTCCAAGGCTTCTCTCCTTGGCTTGCAGATGGCTGTGCCCTCACCCTGTGTTTTCCCTGTGCTTGTGTACCCCTCGTGTCTCTTTATGTGTCCACATTTTCTCTTTTTATAGAGACACCGGCCAAATTTCATTAGGGTCCACCCTAAAGGCCTCATTTTGACTGAATTATCTCTTTAAAGGTCCTATCTCCAAATAAAGTCACATTCTAAAATACTGGGAGTTAAGGCTTCAACGTATGAATTTGGAGACCAGGACACAACTCATCCCACAGCACTCAGACTAAAAACATGAACATCACATAGTTGTAGGGCACAAAGCAGCTCTTACGTGTTTACATGAACATCTGACAATGTATCTTTCAGCAGATTCTGCAGATGCAATCCCCTCATATGCAGCATTTTCCCTTATAAATGATCAAGGCAATAACAGAGAAATTGAGGCTGAGAGTCTTGTGAAAGTTTGCTTGGATTCAAATTTCACCTTCACTACTTGCTAGGTAGACAAATCACTAATGTGATTGGGCCTCAGTGACCTCCTCTGGGGGTAATAACAGTGCCTATCTCATAGGGATTTTTGAAAATCGAATCTGATAATGCTTACAAAATATTTAACGTAGTCCTTTGCATATCATAAGCACTTCACAGACATTAGAAATCATCATCATTATAAATGGCTAAAATCTACATATATAAACACATGTATGTGTATGTGTGTGCATGTGTGTGTATATATGGGTTCATTAGTAGTCTGTACTTATAGAGATGAAAGAGCAACATAAAATTTTACAATAATACAGTTTCCCAAATTCCCAAGGAAGCAGGGACAGTGCTTATGGTGATTTGGTTTGAAAACTTACACATGAAGTAGTTGTCTTCCTAGTAGAGGCAAATCTCATAGGTTGGTTCACTTGACATCTATTCCCAAGAATGCTCTCCTCCAACACAGGGGTAACAGGAGCCAGATACTTGATTTTCGGGGTCAGCTTATGAGAATAAAGCAAAGTCTTCTAGAAAGAGTTCCCCTGCCTAAATCAAAAGATAAAGTCCAGTTGGTACCAATATTTTTTTTAATGTTGTTCTCTAATAAAGGGGACTAGAACACCTTAAAGAAATGGCCCACTCTAGGATTGAGGTAGAGAAAATACAAGATGAGTAGGGAGCACATTGCCAGAAAGAAAGGAAGTGCTCAAAACAAAAACGATGGGTGTGTATCGAAGAGACCCAGGAGTCAACTGAAAAAGCTCCCAACAGCCAAAACTGAAACCATATCAACAACAAAATAAATAAAGTAATATTGGATTATAACCCAAAGCATAAATTTTCACGAGTATACACACACACACACACACACACACACACACACACACACTAGACAAATATATTTATATTAGAGACAGGATCTTTCTCTGTTGCCCAGACTAGAGTGAAGTGGCACGATCTTAGCTCACTGCAGCCTCAAACTCCTAGGCTCAAGTGATCCTCCTGCCTCAGTCTCCTGAGTAGCCAACACTATAAGCATGTACCAAACATGTGACTATTTTTTAAAATTTTTTTTGTAGAGACAGGTGTTACTATATTGCCCAGGTTGGTCTCAAACTCCTGATCTCAAGCAATCCTCCTGCCTCAGCCTCCCAAAGTGCTGGGATTATAGGCATGAGCCACCGTGCCCAGCCTATATATTAATAAGGGATTGCCCATATAAATAAAAGAAAGAGAAGAAACACATCTCTTGTGCAGCATTTTGGTTAACACTGCATGTGCCTTCAGAGATGGCCTTATATTACTTAAGAATCTATGGATTATTATTTATGACAATCACAATGGTCCAGACCTGAGATTACCACCTGTTTGAGCTTGAGATTTCTCAGATTGAATCTGCTCTGCTCTGACTAAACCACAGTTTAAGGGACTCTTCCTTCCATACATCCTCCACCTGTTGATGACCAGAACTCACCTTTTCTCTTGTGGGTGAAGGATGAGGGCAGTGAGGGTAGTTGTTCCACAGGGTAAATAAGGTAAGGACCAAGCAACAGCTTAAGGCAAACATGGGAACCACTCTTGGCAGTTCATGGGCAATCTCTGGCTGTGCTATGGACACTAATGATGGCATCATCAGCGTAGCCCCTCAAAACGCAACAAGAACAGCACTCACTCAAGAGAAGCTAAACTATCTTGGGCTGCTGATTCTACTCATCCAAGAAAATCTGCTCAGTTCTGGCCCCTCACCTGGGACACACATTCCCCTTACCCCTTGCACATTGTCTATGCCCTCCTTCCCCTCAACAAGGCCTCAGGAAATTATTACCTGGTCTCATTATAGAAGCCTTTCTCTTGTCTTCACATATTGCAGTTTTATTCCCTATGGCTTGGATTTTTATTTATTGGTCACTAAGTTTTAAGATCTTGAATCTCAAAACTATCTTAATGTGGCCATATCCTTTATTGGAAGCACTTAATGAACAGCTTAGATTAAAGAGGGCCAAATGATTGCAGAATTGGAAAAAAACAGTCGTTAATATTTTTTAAATATTCTACTTCATTTTCTCTCTCTTTTTCTCCTTCCTTTCCTTCAGTCCTGAAGCATCTGTGTATTTCAATCATTATAATGCAAGATAGAATTTCTCCAGGGCCTTATAATGTGTATGGATGAGATGAAGAGGTAAATAAGAGAATACAGTCACCTTTTAGATAAGCCTTGAAGGATGGGGAGCTAACACACAGGACTTGGAAAGGGCATTCTTGGAAGAAAAAGCAGCCTGGAACTAAGCAGGCAGCAGAGGAGGGCCCATTTATAGGAAGAATAGCTTGGCCAGTTTGTTTGGAGCACAGGCTTCCAATGCCAGGAAAGCTAGTTTGTCCTTTGCACCCATGTTAGGACATGCTGGAGTCCTGAGAGGAGGGGAGAGGCATGGTAGGAACACGGCCGAGTAAGAGATACTGCTGATCATCTGAAGGACAGATAGACGAGAAGAGAAAATAGAAATGGGAAGTCTGGTCTAACACCTTTTATAACTATCAGGTGAGAGATAATGAGGGCCTAAACTGGCCAATGACAATGAAGAAGAAGAACAGTACAATCAACATGAGACCACAAAACAGTCAGAGCTCATCCAGCACCCACCAGTCTGCCAGGCACAGGGCCTCAGGTTTCACCAGGATTACTTCGTTCAATTCTTACTGCAGGTCAGTGAGAGCTACATTATTATTACCCATATTTTACAGAAAAGGAGACTGAGACTGAGGTTGGATGGCAGTCCTTGGGGTGATCAAGACGTGTCATCTATCTATTCATTCCCTGGACTCCAGGCTGTCCTTTGGTCAATGGAATGTTGTGGATGTGACACTGTGCCGGTTCCAAGCATCCCTTTTGGGAGGACTTGAGATTTTCACCTGTGCCTCTTAGAGAATGCTTGCTGGTGTGGATGCCCTTCCTCAGAACCCAGTGCCATGCTGTGGTTAATCCAAGCCACACAAAGAGGTCATACATAGGTGTTTAGGTCAACAACTCAACTAAGCTCCCAGCGGACAGCCAACACTAACTTCCTGCCATATGAGAGGGTCATTACGGACGTCTAGTCCATGTGAGTCTTCAGATCATGATACCACTCCCAGCCAACAACCGCACAAAAGACCACAAGTGAGAACCACCCAGTCAAACCGAGCCTGGCCAACACAGAGAATCATAGGTTTAAGCCACTTAACAATGCCTGCTTTAAGCCACTAAGTTTTGGAGTTTTTTTTTTCCACAGCAATAGAAAACAGAAGCAATTATTAATAATGTCCTTTGTCTCGCACAAGTGTTCTGCTATGGACAATAGATCGCATAGCTAACCTAGCTAAGTAAGTGTTGAGTAAGTATAAATGTTGAATTTAAATGTTTGTTAAGTGAATAATGAAATAGATGGATGGATTTAATGGATGCATTCGAGTTGACTGCCCCTAGTTAGTTTGTTAAATGATTGGGGAGACCCTTCTTCACTTTGGCCAGCAGCACCGTTTGCAGAAAAAGAGCTAGTGGTTGCATGTACCAGATCACACCATAGCCTCGGCGCCTCTTCTCAGGCTACTCTTTACCACCATGGGGAAGTAAGGGTGGGGCAAAGCAAAAAACCTGAGTATGAGATAAAATCTATTATGTGGTCTTAATAAACTCTAGAGTGGACACTTTAAAAAATGATCTAACTTTTCTTCTAAAATAGAAATTATGTCCAGCTTTTATAATGGCTCAGGCTTTCCTTAAGCACTTTTCCCATAAATTTTAACATGAGCATCCGTGGTAATGCTTAACTGCAGGTAATATATTTTTTAAGCCATATTTTTCTCCAAGAGCTCATTAAAAGCACTCACTCTGCTAATGATTTCTGAGCCTCAAGTTAGACTTATTAGTGCACAAGGAGCAATAGATGCCTAAATGTCAGGTCTATTTACCAGTTGAAAATGCTATTGCTGTAGAGGCATTTGTTTTCTGTGGGACATGCTGATTGTGGTTAGTTCACTCCATTTTTCTTGATGGGAAATGGTCCTGAATCCAAAGCTGTTTTGTCCAACCAAGCTTCAGCATGGGGAATTATACTCTGGATCAGCACCTTGCCAGTGTGGGTTTAGCTGAAGGAATTATTGCTGATGCTGCCTTGGAGTCTTCCTTGCCTTCTGGCCAGACCCTAAATCTGCAATTTTATTTATCATTTTTGTTAGTAATGCTTGTTATAGGGCCTAGAACAAATGTCCAAAACAATAAAGGTTTGTCTGCCTTAGTTTCACCTCTTTTTCCTTCTTTCTGTATCATCTGCTTCTAGTTGATTAATCTTTAAAAATTTTAGATTCAATCTCCTTAATAATTCAGAAACCCAACCCCTCTCAGCTCCATTCTTTCTCTTGTTACCTGAGTCCAAGGCCACCATCATCCCTCTACTGGAATCTTGTACAGTCTTCTAACTAATATCACCCTTGTCCATCCATTCTCCACATTGATACCAAAATGATAGTGAGCTTTGCTCCATTCATACTTAAAACACATCAGTGACTCTTCGTCCATCTCTTATCACAAGAAAAATTCAAATTAATCTTGGCATGCAGTCAAGGCCCTTTTGATTTATTCTCCCTGTGAACCCAGAAAATTTGAGACAGATTTCAGTGAATTTAGAAGGTTTATTTTGCCAGGCTTGAGTATGCACACTCATGACACAGCCTGGCAGGAGGTCCTGGCAACGTGTGTCCACGGTGGTTTTACACATTTTAGGGAGACATGAGACATCAATTAACATATGTAAAATGAACATTGGTTCAGTCCAGAAAGTCAAGACAACCTGAAGCAAAAGCAGGGCAACTGGAAGCAGGGAAGGGGCTTCCAGGTCACAGATGACAGACAAATTGTTACATTATTGTGAGTTTCTGATTAGCCTTTCCAAAGGAGGCAATCAGATATACATTTATCTCAGTTAGCAGAGGGATGACTTTGAACAGAGAGGGAGGCAGGTTTGCCCTAAGCAGTTCCCAGCTTGAATTTTCCTATTAGCTTAGTGATTTTGGGGGCTCAAGATATTTTCCTTTCACATCCCAATATGTTCTAGCTACATTTCTCACTCAACGTATCTAGGCAAAGTATGGCTCAATCAAGCCAGACTCCTCATTCTCATAATATATCAGGCACTTTTCTTCATTTTGTTTTATTGTATGATTTTCTTCCAAAGTCTGGAATATTCTTCCTGATGTCTCAGCATGTCAAAATTTATGTTTTCTTTACGACCTAGTGAAAATGCTTTCAACATCCTCAAATTCTTTTCTAACACTTTCTTAGGATCCCCAAATTTCAATGAATTACTCCCTTTTCTGTCCTCTCCCCACCCTCCCACACTCATCCTGTTTGTGCTATTGAAACTCAACACAAAGGCAGCAAAGCACAGGGGTGACAGCTCAAATTTGGAGGTTGCCTGCTGCATTTAAACCAAAGCTCTGCTGCTCACTTGCCTTGTGACCTTGAGCAAATTCTCTGTTTCTCAGTTTCCTCAACAATAAAATGGGAATAA